GGTTGGGCCAGGGGGAGGGTTCACTGCAGTTGACCAAACCATTCAGTAAGGGTGAGGAAGGGTTTGGCATGTATACTGGTTGAAGGAAGACCTGAACTGACAAAGCCTATTAATGGATTAAGGTCATTAAGGCATGGCTAGGCAAGAACTCTAGCTGGAGTGAACTCTGCCTCTGTTTGTGACCACAGATTTCTGTTCAAGGACAGAGTAATCCTGCTCGCTCTCTCTCTTAGTTCTGGCCACTGGCGAGCTCTAGAGAAGGTGACAAAGTATTAGGTCTGAATGCTAATTGCCAAGATGGTGGGTTCTGCCCTCACAGGTCCACAACAACCTGGTCTGCCCGATTTCCTGCTCTGACAGTCACCAATACACTAAACACTAAGAGCACCAGGATCGGGCTATTGGATAGACAAGATCTGGGCTACATTTCTTCCGGCATAATTTTCACTCCATTTTGACATGGCTGAGACATCAATGGATCCCAAACATTTCCCTTTTGCTGGAACCCTTTGAAGGCACCGATTCAGGTATAGTTAAACATTCCGTCGTTTCGGAACCAAAGTTTGTTCTCTCACCCTAGAATTCGTTAAGACCTCAAGGTACAACGAGTTTTGTTATTAGCCCCATTTTATTTTTTTAAAAAAATCATTAAGAATGGTTTTCGGTCCTACGGTCACACAGAATTATAAGACAATATGGAATTTAATGTGTTATAACTTGGGAATCTACCCGTAAGCACCAGCAGGTTTTATAGCTTACTTTTATAATGACGGAAGCAATGCACTTTAAAAGCTAATCCAATCATTCATTCATTCATTCAGCGAATACTTTTTGAGGAGGGCCAAAGTTCAATTGCTCATTACAAATCAGCAACATCTCAATTATGGTGCCGCCAAGCGGTCTACAGTCTCAGAAGCGATCAATCACAGTAATGTTGGAGGTGGCAATAACGTAGCAGAAAGAACACTGGACCCATAGATGCTATTCCCAGATACCAAGCCAGGCTCTACTATTAGCTAGACGTGGCCTCAGGCAAACCACCTATACACCATAGGCTTCAGTTTCCTCATCTGTATGGTAGGGATGGAAATTCAAGCTACCCAACTCACAGGATTGTTTCACGGAAAGTGTTAAGTGTCATGGAAAAGGGGACTTTGCTCAACAATCCCGTAATTATCATTAGGGGCATAAAAAAGAGAGATATGTGGTCACCAAAGGTATTCACCACCATCACGAAGAAAGTACAACATGGAGTCCAAATAGAAGACTTATAAATGATGAGGTCTTTCAGAGGCCTGTTTGTGGGTATGCTGCATAAGTGTTATTTTTTCTGTGAACACTGAGTGTTTATATGATGCTGGTACGTGATACTGTGGTAAGGGTATTGGGCTAGGAGTCAGGAAGTCTGAGTTCCATCAACAAGTTGGCTGTGTTATTTTGAGAAAGCCGCAACCTCTCTGCGTATTAGCTTCCTCATCTGCCAGACAGAACTTGTGGTAAGAGCCACACTGACTAGGGTCCTTGACACGTGAGCTGGGCTCGTTTTTCCCGGACAGGTAGGAAGTCATTCCTGAGCCATGATTGTTTCAAGGGGAGTAGGGCTCACTCAAGCCACTGTTGAAGCTTCTGGGTTGCTTGGGGCATAAAAAGCCTAGTCTACCAGGAGCCCGTGTCCCTCAAACTAGATATGCGTAATGATGCCAAGGAAATGAGTCAGCACATGCCTTCTAATCAGATGCATTTTCACATGGAGATGAGGAGATGCTACCATTAAGGAAACTTTTTTTTTTGTTGTTGGTTAAACATCAGATAGTGTGTGTGCGTCTCATTTTGTTCCAATCCTGCATCGTGATCTAAACCACTGGACTTGGCCTGAGTCAGGTCTAGCCCAGAATAGGGGTAGTAATACCTACCCAATATGCCTAACAGGGCAGTTCTGAGGATCAAATAAGAGAATTCAGGTATCCCCAACCAGGTAACCAACCTGGTCAATTGTGAAATGACAGCTCCTATGACATGGCTGCCTTCAAATTTATGGGCATGTTCAGAATGGGGGGGGGGGAGGGAAAATGAAGCTGTCCAGAAGCTGTCCACCTCCGTACCCTTCACCCCACCAAGCTCAGCTCCTTAGCAATCCTCTTCCTTCTCAGGAGCCACAAGATTTAGAGTTAAAACAAACCTGAGAGCTACAAAACCCTCAATTTGGGAATGAGAAAACGGAGAGACTTGTCCAAAGTCTCAGGTCTTCTGGTTCCAGATTCTGTGTTCTTGCCACTACACCAGGGGTTCCTAACCTTTTGTGTGTTATGGACCCCTCAGCAGCCTGCTGAAGGCTTGCCAATCCTTCTCAGAACGATGTTTTTAAAAGCATAAAATAAAACAGAATTACAAAGGTACAGGATTATTCTGAAATACCTTAAAAACACATACATACACACACACCCCCACAAATTCATGGACCCCCCCAGATTAAGAACTGCTGCCCCACATACATCATGCTGGACTCCCCTAGCTCTCATCTGTAATATATGCTATTTCTTCCCCAGTAGAATGCCCAATTCTTGGGACTGCCATTTTGCTTTGTCTTTTGTACCCCCAGTGCCCGGCACATAGTAAGTGCTTTATCTCAGAGCAATCACAAATCTTTGGGGAAATGAAAAGCATTTCCTCCCTCTGGAAAGCTGGTGAATCTTCTCCTGAGGTAATGTACAATGAAAGCATTCCATTAAGTATGATAAGCCTTATTTAAATAAAAGTCTGTTTTTCTATACAATATGACTTCAGAGGGCAGGACACAACTTAATGATAGGACATATGACTGCCAATATGACCTGTCTAATGGCTTTCATAGACCTCAGCAGGGCTAATGGTTGACCATCTAAAGGGGTAGTTGGTGTGTTTGGGAAAGCCAGCAGTGCAGAATACAACCCAACACTGTTTTCTTCAGGCCAGCATTCCGCTAACATATTTGTGACAGAAGGCTATCCTTTGCTTCCAAAGGGCAAGCCGTCAATTCTCTCAACAAAGGCGGGCTCTAATCTAAAGAAATACAGAGTGTGTCTAATGAAAATTCTGATTGGTTATCAAAATAAAAATCATAAAACAAAGAAGAAAAAGCTATCGTTCTCACGTTCCCACTGGACTGTTGTCAGTTACTCTCAACCCCCTGAGCTTGTGCATTGTTTTCCTGAGACCTCATCTGTACACATACATATGCAGAGGTCTGGATATACCAAGTTATCCTTCAAAGCCTCTGTTCTTGAAAATCTAAAGTAGTGTTCTTGCAAACCTGAAGGAAGAGAAATTTGACATCATTTCCCTGCTCAATATGTCAAGTTTTTCCCCATACAGTGAGCATACCACTTAAAACAAGGTTATGCCTTTTTAATGATAAGAAAGAAGTATGGCAGAATTCCTCAGAAATAGTGGCGGAAGAATGCTAAAGGACCTTGCTGTTCGTTCAACAGATTCATGACACGATCTCAAAGTTCAAGTGCCAAGAAAACTAATTTGCATATGAATATTAGCTGGAGATTGTCGTCTCTAAGTGTCTCTAGAGAAAGCCCCTGCTTTCCATCCCAGTTAGATCAAACCTGTCAGAGGCCCTTTGGTGTGACAAGGTGAGAAAGAACTATTCAAATGATAAAAGGTCAGACATTATTGGACTTTTTTTAAAGGGAAAACTTTGATGATTCTGTTATGCTCTCTTAGCTAAAATGCCTCTGGAGAACAATACGTTTCAAATGATGGCTGTCCAGGACTAGGAATCAGCACTAAAGGGAAATTGAAGGCAGGAAAACTACACAATCTCACAGCCTGCCAGGCCTGCAAAGAAAGAATATTTGCAAATAAAGGTAAACACACTCTTATGAAATGTATAAAAAATCCCCCCAACCAAGAAGAAATGTTGAGAGGCAGCAAGGGAAAAGAAGTGGATTTGAATTCAGATGACCCTGGGTTCAAATCCTGGCTCACTCACTCGCTATCTGTGTGACTCGGGGTAAGTCAGGTTGGACTAGATGCCTTCCAGGGTCTCCTCCTGCTCTGTGTCTACGAGCTCATGATCCCCTTTCCCATGATTTCTTCTTTATTCCATAGTCTCCTCTCTTTCCCAAGTGATGTTGTAGGGTGCTCACAATAAAAATGAATCTACTTTCATAGAAACAGTGCACCCTCTCAAAATACTTTGCATATACATATACATGTTATCTCTCCCAATAAAACCCTAAGTACCTTGAGGGCACACATTGTTTCACTTCTGTCTTTTTACTCCCAGCAAAATGTCTGGTACATAATAAGATAATAATTCATGACCACAATGACAGCATTTACATAGCACTTTACAAATACTTCCTCATCTAATTCACTTGATAATTCTTTAAGGTAGGTTGCTATTATCATCATGCCCATTTTACAGATGAGGAAACTAAGACTTAAGAGGGATTAAGTGTCTTGTCCAGGGTCACTCACTAATAAGTGTCTGAAGCCGAATCTGAGCTCAGATCTTCCTGACTCTATCCACTGTGCCACCTCGCTGCCCCAGTAAAAAATGCTTGTTGGTTAATCGATTGATAGTGCAGTTATGAGTAACGATGGCTAAGATGGGATCATCTCAAATAGCTCCCCTTTTCATTCAAGAGTAAGGACCCGATAAAACAAAACAAACAAAAACAAAGAAGGGATCATGGTATTGTGCCAACAGGGGCCTAGATTCTAGCCCTGGTTCTGCCATTAATTGTGTGACCTTGTGTAATCTATTGAATCTCTGGGAGTTTCAGTTTCTTCACCTGTAAAACAATAAGGCTGAATTGGATGAGCTCTAAGATCTCCTCTAGATCAAACATTTTGTGACTCTTCCTTCTCATCACTACCATCATTAGAGGTAACCATGTTAACACTCTCCCCCAATTAAATAGGAGTTAAACCCCATTTCTCCAGAAGCATTTCACGACCCACATTGAGCTCCTCCATTTCGATTCTCCAAAAAATCGAATACTTACTTTGAGGAGAGCAAATGAATAATCACCAGTTCTACCCAACAGGCATACTTGTTGGGTATGTACATGCCCATAACATTTGTGTGTCCTCCGGGGTTATAACTGTTGTTTAGAACCTTCAAGGCAAACAGGACTCCTAAAAAGGAAGAAAAAGCACCAACACACGTTATTTAAAAAATGAAACACACACTATACACAGATGGCATCAGCAATTGTATAAACAAGACCAATTCAAAGCAAAAGAAGACCTACTCTATTCCCCACAACTTACTGCTAGGAATGATTCTATTATCTCCCCTAAACCTGTCAAGCCGGTTTTTTGGAGGAAGACAATGATTCAATGAAATTACTCTGGCTAATTTAATTCAGAAGTTAATGTGTTACTAATGGACTCTTAGGCCCACAACTGTATGCTACCTTCCTGACTTCAAGTAGAAATGGGAAACAACTAGATGGCATAGTAGATACAACACTGGGTCTGGAGTCAGGTGGGCCTGGAATCAAATCCTACCTCAGACACTTACTACCTATGTGACTCTGGGCAAATCATTTATCCTCTGTTAGTTTCAGTTTCCTTATCTATAAAAAGGGATAACAGCATTTGAAGATCAAATGAAATAATACACAAGAAGCTCTTTGCAAATCTTAAGGTACTATACAAATGATAATCACTATTATTATTATCATTATTATTATTATACCATCAGAAAGTACTTCTCAGACTTACTATGGCATAAGGACTCAGAGAAGGGAGAGATGTTCAGGGTAAAATAGAATTGGGAATGAGGGAATTGATTCTCTTCAATATTTTTTTTTGGTGAGGCAATTGGGGTTAAGTGACTTGCCCAAAGTCACATAGCTAGTCAGTGTCACGTGTCTGAGGCCAAATTTGAACTCAAGTCCTCCTGACTCCAGGGCCAGTTCTCTATCCACTGTGCCACCTAGTTGTCCCTCTTTGCAACATTTTTATGAAGCATTTCTCTTCTCCTTCAATCTATATCCTAAATCTTAAAATAGACAATTAAAATCATGCTAACAATTTCAGCACAAGAAAATCTGTTAAAAAAAAAGAAGTAGGAGTTAATCAAAGCGACACTCAGCTTTGAAAAAATTCTCATCACAAGCAATTCAACACCAATATCTAATGATTCCTATGAATGCCACTGACATAAATACCAAGGATCACCTAGGCATGTGTCAGGGAAGGGATGTGAACCCAGATCTTCCTGACTTTATGAATACCATTGGTATAAATAATCCCTCCTATATTCCAGCACTATTTGGTGATACCAAAGCAGACTTTTAGGATTCTAGTCTTTCACTCAGCACCAAACCACTTTCTATGGCCTAATATCTATAATCTATAATATCTAATCTGTAATATCGAGCCACAGGAGAAAGAACTGAAGAAAAACTATGTTCCTCTTAGCCTTAATTCAGATTCATCATTGTTGACAATGTTCTGCCTTGCTCTTAGAATCATAGCATGTTAACTCTGGCAGGGACTTTAAAGATCATCGAGTTCAACCTTACTTTACAGATGAGGAAACTGAGGCTAAGTGAATTGGACAGGAGTCTCACACAGCTGAGTGACAGAATTGGGTAGGTGACCCAAAATCTCCTGACTCCAAATCAGGCTTTGTCTACCATACCAGGCTTTCCCTTCCCTAGGATTCTGGTCATTCATGACTCTATCCCTGAATCGAAGAATGTCAAGGTTAGAAGGTACCATCTTTTCCTACCCATACACCACTTCTCTCTCTCTTCACAAAGTTCTCCACTGCAATACACCTAAGAAGTGATCATCTAGTTTCTGCTTGACTTGCTCCTGTGTATCGGGGCTGGGGAGGAAAGAAATTCACTTACATTTTTTAATGCCTTTCTTGGACCATTCTTTCAGCAAACACCCCAGCCATGCTGCACTTCACTCCTGCCCTTCTGGCCATCTCCTTTTCTTTCTTTGGCTAGCTTCCCCTCTACCCCAGACACCTAGTCCCTTGCAGATGGGCTATTTTCAATCTATTGCCCCTATGGCCCAGTCACTATCCCTTGTCATTTTCCAACTAGAATGCCCCTCCCTGACCATCTCTACCCTTTATCTCTATCTCTATCTATTTATTTCTATCCATATCTATCTATATTTAACTAATCTCTCCATTAGAATACAAACCCTTGAGCACATGGACTACTTTTGTTTATCTTTGAATCCTCAGTGTTTGACACAAGAGTAGGTGCTTAATATATATTTTAATATATTTAATATATTAATATATTTAATATATTAACATATTTAATTAATTTGTTTAACATATTTTAATATATTTTTCATTTATTCATGCATTCCTTTCTCAAGCAATCCATTCCATTTTTGGACACCTAATTGCTGAGATATTTTCCTGAAATCAAATTTGCCTCTTTGTACCTTCTACTCACTGGTTCTGCCTTCTGGGCATCAGCAGATCAAATAGAATTCTTTCTTCTCCATGTCAGCCCTACAAATACTTGAATCCAGTTACTTTTTTCAGGCTAATCATACCCAGTTCCTTCAAGCAATCTTCATATAGGCAAAACTCAAGGACTTCCACCATTTCTGGTTACCCTCCTCGAATGTTCTCTCTTCTTTCCCAATATCCTTCCTAGATAGTAATGAAATGGCCATTACCCATGGAGAACACACTACCCAGTGAAAGGACACAATCCATCACCCTTCCCCGAGTATCTTCATAAATGCTGTTTCAAAGGTCATCCTGCCTTACCTGAGAAACCGATAGCACAATATAACTTGAAGGCAGGTTGATCTAGAAGTTCCGCAACAGTATATTCCAATGCCAAGTATACCACACCAGTGAGCAAGGAGAAGACCGCGATAAGGTAGGCAAACCAAATACTTCCCAGTCTTCTTTCCAGTGTTAGTCCTTTCCATAGCATGGACACCATGTTGAAATACAAATGCCAGTCATCTCCATGGTGGAAAGGAGAAAGCAGCAGGCGCTGCCAATCTTTTTTCTCATAACACGATTCCACACTTAGGCAGAGCCCATAGGAAGGCTTCAGGGGGTTGAGGAAAAGCCAGATGTTGAGGCCTAAACATGCCAGAGTGACAGGGGGGATATTGGTGATCCCAACCTGCATGATTTGAAAAAAAAGTAAAAGCAGGCCTTGATGAATTCCTCTTGACCTCCGCTGCATGGTGCTTAAAAGCTCAGGAGACCAACCCAATGGAAGCAAAATATGACGTGATTTTCAGAATCTAAAAGCAGCCCACTAGCAGTTATACCTGAAATAAAAATGAAATATACGTCAAGATAATGTATACTGATCAAATATGCATTTCTGGCTTGATCTTACATTCTGACGCCACACCCTTTCCAATTCACAACATCAGAGATCTGTAACCATCCCTCCACTTTGCAGATGAAGAAGACTGAGGGCCAGAAAAATGATCTAGAAGAGTGATATAAGGTCATATAGTTCATCACCAGCAGACCCTTGGCTCTCAATCTAGGCTCTTCTCCCAAGATGATGTGTGTAAAAGTTCTTTGGGGGAAAACTGTAAAATGCCCTCCTGACTGTTAGATTTTCCCTGAAATGGAAACAGAATAATATATCCTGATGAAAACTGGAATAGTGTCAGACCAGAGCAGGAACCAGGTCTCTTTATGGAAAATGCATTTTCTGCAAGTTCTCCCTTTAAGGAAAGCCCCCGATTAGAAACCAGGTGCAGAAAAATATCCATAGCATCACTCGTGGTAAACAAAAACGAATAGCAAAATGAGTACTCAAGGACTGGAGAACCATTCCTGACATGTTAAGATTTGATAACAGCAGAGGCCTAACAGATTCTCAGCGGATCACAGATTTAGAGCTATAAAGTGCATTAGAGGACACCTTTAGCAAATAAAGAACAAAGGGATAACTTGCCCAAGGCCACAGAGGTAGTAAGTATCAAGATTTGAACCCAGGTCCTCCAACTCCAAAGTCATCCTTGTATAAATGTCTTTTCTTATGGCCTTTTTTTTTTCCTTTAAGGAAGGGAGAAGGGAGGATCTGGAAGATGAGATTTAGTGACAAAATTGTAGCTTGGCTCCTAGACCTCAGGTTACAATTTCATTACGTAAAGAACTGCAGTTTCTCCATACCCAACCCTCTTTTTATGCTCCACATTGTATAAAGAAATGTTCATTTTTGTGTGTGCCCATTTTTTTTAAAAAAAAGAATTATAGGTTGTTTAAATTCTGGTAAGGTGTTGAAATCTTATTGATGTGGTATCACATAAGTAGAGAAAGGTCTACTTTGTACAGTTTTCAAAATTGGGGAGAAAGGCAGGATGCAACAGTCAAAATTACTGACTATTTTTGGCTACAATATAGGTTCATAATGCAGCTAAATGTCACTCTGCATGCTGCACTGCAATGTGTAAACTCAAAGTTAAACAGTCCTTGTGTGGAAATTAAAAAGCATCATAATGTTATATTTCTACACATCATTCATTTTGTGAAGCATATTATAAACCACTTTAAAAAAATCCTGCTAATTCTGAAAAACTGAAACAACTCAAGAATGATCACAGATAATCATGCTATTTTAAATGATTAAACTCAAATTCAATTTCTTCAAGTTTTGTCTTGGACTTTTAAAGCAAAGTTAATATTCTTTCATGATTGATAAATACACAGCAGGCTTGAGGAGAAAATTCACTTGAAGAGCTAAGACTAATTAATATAAGCAAAGACGAGAGACAGTTTCAATAGTAGAAATGCGGAAACACAAAGTTAAAAAGGCCCAAATCCAGAAAACATAATCCACTATATATTTATCATGTGGATTCACAAGGGCTATTTTTGAAGAAGTGGAAAGGCCATTACATTTGCTTTGTATAAATGTTTTAGCATATAACCTAATAGACTGAAATACGCTGAAAATGTAAATGGTGACTATGTTGCTAAGACATTTTTTTCCCCAGAGAAAATTAGCTGCTTTTCATAAGAAAAGGCAAACTCTGATGTCTATGGTCAGAGAGTTGGTGTGCATTATACAAATAAGCAATTGAGAATTGTTAACTGTGAAAAGTTTTATTCAACATGATAAACATTGATGCTGTCTGAAAAGACTGCTAAGGTCGAGACAAGGCTTGAGGAATCATATATAAAGAAGATTCAAGTGATTCTACTTATAGATTAATTAATGCATATTAATTAATACACTGGGAATGATACAGTTTGATATATTGACATATAATGGGAAGTAGAATTACCCATTTCACCGAAGGCCTTTGTTACCAATTAGACGTGAAACCAAAATCTTCCTCTTTTGTATTTCATGCTAACAAAGCAACAAAGTAATTAAAGATGTTCATTTGATTATATATGTAAAAAACATTTTTGAAACTCACGTTACAGAAAATGTGTTACTTTGCAAGCCTATTGCTGATAATGGCAAGAGAAAATTTCAACATAAGAGGAAGATTGTATTTCTTTTTAAATGAAAATAATAAAGGTAATTAGGTGGCACAGCTGATGGAGTACTCAATCTGGAAGTCAAGAAGGCCCAAGTTTGAATCCTAGCCCACTCAGCTACAAGATAAATTATTAAACCATCATCAGCCTCAAGAGTTTTCTTATCTGTGAAATGGAGATAACAGCAGCACTTCCCACCCCACACTCCTTGCTTTAAGGATCTTAATAAGAAAATACAAAGTGCTTTATAAACCTTATTATCATTACATAATGTGGAAGAATTCTATTGGACTGTCTGCTGACAGAGCATAATCAATGTCAGGAAAAAACATAGGTCCTTAAGACCTGGCTAAAACTGTGACCCTTTGTACAGCTTTCGATTTGTCCAAAATGTACAATCACTTGTATCAAGAAACACGAGTAGAGTATTTTAGTTACAACAGTAAATAATTTCATAAAAAAAAAAACCCCAACAGTCCATTAAAATGGAGGCTTTTTACAAAATTACTATATGACATAGATGGGATCACTTCTATAGTATTTCAAAACCCTCTGTTGATAATACTTCTTCAATATGACTAGTGTGGGAAAATGTTTTGCTTGGCTACATATATCCGTTACAACAGTTTTTGCCTGCCAGTAATTATCCACATATCCCTCCATTTGGGGGTATTTGGTTCTGAAAAAGGAATGGGATAAAGAAAAAGGAATGGGGCTGGCAAGGTCAGCAGAGAGGATATAGAGAAAAGCCTCTTAGAGGAAAAGTAAAATTCTCTTGGGTGAAATTCAAGCCTCTGATATTAGGAAACCACGTAAACTCTCAACTAGAATAGTTTAACAAAACAGGTAGCATTTACATTGCACTTTAAGGTTTTTCAAAGCGTTTTTAAAAAGTTCACTAGATCCTCACAATGACCCTGGGATTATTATCATCCTCATTTTACAAGTGAGGAAACTGAGGCAGACAGAAGTTAAGTGACCTGCCCAGGGTCACCCAGAGCTAGTGTGTGTCTAAGTCTAGCTTTGAACTCAAGGTCTTCTTGGCTCCAGGTCTGGTTCTCTTACTCACTGTGCCACTTAGCTTAGAGATAATTAACTTAGAAGCAAGAAAGAACTTTAGAAGCAGCTTATTCTATGTTTAAATTTTTGTATGACCTAGTCACTGACAATGAGAAAAGATTTAGATGTAGAGTTTTTTATATTATCTTGGTGAAAAAATAAAAACAAGCTAATCAGTGATTTGAAAACACATGAGATTAGAGAAAGGAGACAATCCGTGCCTTGACATTGTGTTTCTCTGTATCTTGCTTCAATTTACCAGTCGATGCAGTATGTACATACAAGTAAGTACAGTTTAACCAGTTTGTACACTGTTATTTTGATCACTATATTTTCAAAGAACTATAAAAATATAAATGTCCTTGCTGGAGACAACAAGGAAAAAGCTGGTAGCATTCCTGATCCATTGCTATTTACCCTGTGTCAAGAGAACTTGGTAGGAGTTCCCCCAATGTATTAGGTGGAGCCCCTGTGAAGGATTTACAGGAGAACATGGCCAACAATCTTACAGGAGATGAGAAAGCATGGATGGGATACAACCTGCACTGTTGAAGGGAATACCTACATTGATGAGATCACAGATCCATTAAAGTATTTTTACAGGGGAAAAATACTTAAAAAAGAAGTTTTAATCCACTGTAGGGAATTAATTCCATCCAGATACCCTGCGACACCTCTGGAATGACTCATAGTCATTAGAGAGACCTCAGACTCATTTCATTTCCCATTGTGACCATGTAACAGAATTGCTTATAACACCAAAGCTCCATAGCATAATGGATGGAGAACCTAGCTTAGAGTCAGGAAGACCTGGGCTCCTGACCCTTCTCTGACACACAATGCCTAGGTGACCCTTGATAAATCACTTAATCTCTCAAGCAACTCTCTAAAAACTGCATACAGTTACCAATCTACATTGGTAAGGGGAGTTTCCTGTATCATTAAATCACAGGTCTGAACACCAAAGAAGAACAGGAATATGAAACAAACCTACATACAGCTGACATAGAATGTTATGTGGCAGGTGCCGGGGATAAAAAGCAAAAGTGGAACAGTTTCTACCTTCAGGAAGCTTGCAGTCTGTCTGGGAGACAACATGTCTATCTCCAAGTAGATAGAGAATAAATGCAAAATAGTTTTGGGAAGGGTTTTGGCTACCAATGGGGTCAGAAAAGGTCAATGGCATAGATATACCCTGGAGGATTTCATTAAGACATTTGCTGGTCTTTTCCAATATCCTTGTGAACAAGATGGAGAAATGGAGGCTAGAAGTTGTGATAGCCAGGTTGATTCATTACCAACTGAACAACTGCACATGAATGGACTGCTGTCAACTTGAAAAGAGATGTCCTCTAGGGGTCTACCACAAGGCTAACCTTATTCATTGGATGATAGAATCAGGATCCCAAAAGATCTCAATGAGCCAGATCTAATAAGGTGAAATTCAGTGCGCCAATTCAAAACTATTCCTCAAATGTTGAATGGGAGAGAAATGGCCAGACAGAAATTTATGTGGGAGGGAAAAGACTAGGGTTTTAGTTCAATGTGCTTCAATGGTGCAGTATGAACAATAAAAACAAAAACCAATTTGATTTTTGTTGCTGTTCAGTCATTTAGTTGAGTCCTACTCTGTGACACCGTTTGGATTTTTCCTGGCAAAGACACTGGAGTGGTTTGCCATTTTTCCTTCTCCAGCTCATTTTACAGGAGGAACTGAGGCAAACAGGGTTAAGCGACTGACCTAGGGGTCACACAGCTAGGA